GCGATTAGAAGATCCAGCGATTTTTGGGGCAATGCCAGAACCATCATCACTTTCATTTTCTTCTTTTGAATTCGAATTAGTAGACAGGCAGGTATTCATCCTTGCTACTCACAATCGAAACACTGTCATCATTATGATCATTTTCTGAATCATTTTCAGATAATTTTTGTAAATACTCCAAAGCTTCCTGAACAGTGTTAAACAGTCCTGAACGACATCGTGATATCTTATCTATCCGTATACTAAATATAGAATAAAAGCAACTTCAAAAAATCTTCCGAAATATTCTTTCTAATTTTCCAATGCATTCGAACGCAGTTCGTGTTTCGAAACAAACATTAAGACCTTGACTGAAAACCTACACTCTTCTCTCCTGGTGCACTCCATTTGAGGAATTCGAGGGTGAGGCAGGTATAATTTACAGTTACTTCCGAGAAAATGTATCTGTTTTTCGTCGTTTAGGTATGAATATTTCTTATGGGTCAAATTGATCCGCTTCGCAGTTCTAGGTATAAAAGTTAATAATCAGAAATGTATTTATGTTACGCATTTTCAAATTCAATAAGTTACTGTTTACCTTAAGTGAATAAAAGTCATAAAAGGAGTTTTTTTCCGATTAATACTTTTCATACATTGGACTTAAAAGTACAACTTACAAGATTTTAAGGTATTTCCTCTCTCCTTATCGGGTCCCTTCGCGGTGTAACTGGAAAGCACTTCCGGTTAACAATCGGAACGTCCAGAAGCTGAGTTACGGCAATTGCATATTTTGCATGATTTCTGCTTCGACTAACCTATTGACTCTACAGGCATCGACGCGTCGCTCAAGGATCATCGGTCTCGGTTGTTGGTAGTAAATTCTGTTTTCATTTTATTTTGGTCATCTGAGCCATGCTTAAATGACATTTCTCTTACTTTTTTCTTTAATGCTTTCCATAATCGAGCTCTTCATACGAGTTTCGTTTGTCTGATCAGTTCTATGCTGGACTACATTTTAACGCAAAGTTCGTAAGATGTCATCTAACACATCGTATTTACTTTCGACGAAGAATGTTTGTTCCTTACACAGGTAAATAAAAATTTCTACATTTCAGTTTAAACTTTGTTTTCAGTAAATTTTATATTATAAATTCCTAAGAACATGAAAATATTCAGGAATATTTCAAAACCTTAAATTCTGTGTTCTTCGATTTTAGAAATATGCACGACTACTGATTTTTATAGGTGGTGTGTGTAGATAGATAGCTAGAGAAATGTGATCATTTAAAGTAATTTACATAGAAATCCAGAAGCTTCACATAAATATTTTTTAAAGAATTTGTTCTCAATTTATATTTTGCTTCTTTACCCTTCCACCGCTAATCAATAAAATGTTTATAAAAATTAATTAATTCAGAAGCGTTCTAAAATACATGAATCATAGACGCATGGCGTATGTTGTTTCTTCACGTTAAAACCTATGTTAATGTTATTTTATATATCTGACTTCGAATCTTGGTTTTCTGAAGAACACAAATCTTGTCCAAACTTAAAGGTTTATTCAACTATTCCAAAATTCCAAAATGATGATAATTTAACATCATGAACAAACTTAACAGCTTAGGTGAAACAATACCCGCACATTCAAATTCCTAGGAATGCCTTGAACTGTCAGCTATTCGGCGACTGAGGAAAAGAGCACATCTTATAAGGACAAAAATCCGTCTGGTCCCTCTGGCATAACTCCTCTCAAATCTCCTCTGGGCAGGTCTGCACTGCTTCGAACTGAAAATGAACTGCGCCGCTACCAAGAAAAGCACCACCTTTTATTGACCAGATTTGGTGTGAAATCTCCCATTTGGCGGTTGCCGTTACTACAGACGATTATGCAAACATTTAACAGCACAGATAAACGCTTTGTCAATGGCATTGCTAACAAAATTCAATAAAATGTAAGAAACATTCATTTCAATCAGTTGTGACATGTGGGATTTGAACCAGGAATTTAAAATTTGTTAGTTAAGTGTGCTAATTAAATTAGTTTGTTAGTTGGGTGTGCTAATTAAATTTGCTAGTTGGGTGTACACTCCACGCATACACGCAGGAGGTATGATAATCGCTTCGCTATTTAATGGCCACTGAAAAGAGGCACGAACCCAATCGGCCGAATCCAAAATGGTGGGGAATATGGTATACATTTTAGTTCGGGCTCTATTGGAGATGCATTTAAGTTTTTAGAAGCCGGAAAAGGTGAAAAAAATCAATCGTGTTTCTTTTCCGGATTCGAAATATGGATTTTCAGCTTGCTGGCTTGAAATGCTAAACACTTAAATTACACAAGTGTGCACTTTGAATTGCAATAATTGCTTAAAATAGCATTTCAGTTAGAGGGACTTTCGAACTAAATCAGAATAAATATGACATTTAGGTACTTCAGTTTGTACCAAATTTTTATAGTAGAATAGAAACATTTTAATAGTATTTGAAAAAACACGATCTGTTAAAATTCTTATAACGCAAGGTACTACGAAATGGGTTACTAATATTGAAAAATATAATTTAAAATATTATCAAAATATAATTAAACTTATTTTTTTTTTTTTAGGTATTTTTTCATATTGAAAATTTAAAAGCATATTTTTCAAAATATTTTTTGCGGAAATAAAAAATTTTTAAATAATTAATCATTTAAATTAGTACAAATATGCTGCTTCGAAATAAATCCAAATGCATGTTCAATTTTGCTGAATTTGAAACCGTTTCCGAAAGAATGACCTATATAAATTTTCCGATTTATGATAAGTTTCTTTGATACGCATTTGATCGAAAAATGAACAATAAATAGAAAACCTGCAGTGAGAAATTTAATATATGGAATAGGATCATAAAATTTATATATGTGACGGCACTCGTTTCACAATGCATAAAATGGATTTGCGTACACAATAACTTTAAAGTTTGAAAGAAGCACATTTAAAAGATGGTTATTTGATTCGGTCTATGTTAGTATCAGTACAAAGCAATGAGTAAAACTACTATTAGAGCAATGAACTGCTTTGAAAACCCTTAGAAATGATGTATATAGGTCAATGGCAAACCGCCGTGCCAGACAACATGGACGAATCACTAGAAGACTTGCATAAGGATGTCCAAGGACTCAATAAACTACTAATTCAAAGTAGCGGAGTATCATAGGTCAAAGACAGAGTGATGAATGCCCAGTGGACATTCGTGCTTCCGAATGAAGACTCAAAAGTGTACTAAACAACTTGATAAACTTTGTCTCATAAGCTTCAAGATTATGATTTATATACAAAATATTGTTGCGAAATGCCCAGCGGCAGAGCGGTGAGATAGCTTTGCCGCAAAGCAGTGTTATGTGTTACCAGATTTGGTGTGAAATCTCCCATTTGGCGAGTGATATTTGGTGACGCAATTGGCGATATGCCATAGATGGAGCGAGAGCATTCTAGAACGCATTTTTAGCGGTTTTCCCGGGAATATTCTCGAAGGCAGGTTAAGGCTATGTATACTCTGCCTATACGGGAAAACGCAGTGTCTTAAGTTCAGATACTAGCTTGAGAGAAATAAACTGAGTCGGGAGCTGTAAGTTAGTGCTTTGCCATGAAGCTGTCTTCACCATTATAGCCTAAAGGCTGTGTTGCTGACTGTTTAAGCGCCTTTGTCGTAATCTTTTCACGAGTTTAAAACTGTCTTTGGAACTGTCCTGCGTAATATTGCTTACTGGACAATAAACTATTTTGATTCTTCATCAAGTGTTACCACCAATTACTCCAAATCAAGAGCCCATAGAATGCAATAGTATCTTCAATTTTACCCTTTAATGATGAATTTGCATAATATTCGGGTTGAAATGGGTTTATAAATGTAGCAGTTGGAGCTAAATCAGGGCAATAATAATCTGCATGATTTAGTTTCTAGTTTGAATTTCAATGATTTTTTCTATAGAGAGAAAAACAGGAAATTGGTACATTGCATCACATATCTTAACACGTTTTTATAATAGAGACGTAATTTGCTAGAACGCACGGTAGTATATCAACAAACAATCGCACTAAGCCTCATACATTGCTGCCGGATCAGAAAATACTATGCCGCATTGAAATGACAGTGTTTAACACACAGAGAGCTTTGATTGAAAGATTACTCTTTAAGTAAAATAATTGTTTACATGCAATAATCTCTTAAATCATCGAACTTTATCCTAAACATCATGTATGATGCATGTAAGAAGATATATTTCTGGTTTCAATATCCTATATCGTACTCATCCTGAGCTTCATTCTTCCATTTTTTTAAAACGATAATCTTATCAATGCAAACAACGAAACACCGTGAAGTGTGCATTTCAATTTACTGTCATGGTTCACGCCGTTTAGATAAAAATGTTACCATTGAACATCAAAACGAACAACCAATGTTATTCTCCTTTCAAAATAATTTCGGGGTTTAGCTACATGAATACATTACAGATAAACCTATTCTGTAAAACAACTATTTTTGTAAACAATTTTAATTTAGTAAGTATGATATATTACATACAGTGAAAGCACATATCAAAACTCCAGAAGAGATCAAATCATGACAAAAATTAAGGTATATCTGCAGGAATGATTGTACAAGAATTAACTGCATGCTAATCTAGGAGACACGAAAGATACTTTTGTTATTTATCAAATGTATGCATTCGAAAATTGCTAGCATACAATTTTAATTATGCTACATATGATTAAATCTTTAATATTTAGATTTCTAAAATTCTTTTTCGTTTCTTTATTTTGTGTATTAAATAAAATTAGAATTAATAACTCATGGTTTTGTCGCAATATAACAATTTTTCCTGATTTCGCACTAGTAGATGTTTACAAACCAACCAACAAACTTTATTTTTTGTAAATTCCTTAAGCTAAAATTTAAAGTGCTATATCTTAAAATTTCAGCAATTTTGTTATAGAATAATCTTCAGGAATGTCTGTCATAATGGAAATTATTCATTTCAGGTACCTAATCCTGGAGCATGTGTCTGGTGGCGAGTTGTTTGACTATTTAGTGAAGAAAGGTCGCCTCACGCCTAAAGAGGCACGAAAGTTCTTCCGACAAATCATTTCCGCCCTTGACTTTTGTCACAGTCACTGCATATGGTGCGTATGTTTCACAAAATATTATTATGATTGGTTGAACACTAAGAAATAATAAATGATCTCTTATAATGTATTAAAACTAAAACTCAGCATATTTCTTTGTATAAATCAATAATATTGGTTTTTGATTTCCCGGTTAAAGAATTCATTATTTTGAATTTATATTAATTCTATTTTTTAAATCTTTTCTTAATTATATATATGTTACAATTTAATTATTAGTTTAAAATATAATGCTAGACGATAGCAAATATTTTCGTGCAAGATTCCAAATTGCTATTATTTAACAAATTATGGTTAAATACTATGGTTTTACTACAGTGCTGAAGATTATTTCATTTATACTGAACCATAAAACTTAATAGCCCGATTCTTAACATATACGTTAATTTTTAAGGATAGTCTAATTGGATCATTAAAATATGAGCATTACAATAAAATATGTCATCTGAATTAATCATCATCACATTAATCAAAATACCATTTACAGCAAAAAGCTGACAAATTATTTTAGAAAACAAACTTTGTCCGTCGTTTTAGCTCGAGATTTTATTTGCATTTATCGAAAGTTTCATTGGATTTCTAAAAATCTATTAAAATGTTGATGCACACAGTCTTCTTGCACATTTTAATGCATTTTATTTGCAATCATAATTGCAGTTAAATAATTATGTACATCTTCTAATGGATAAAAATGTACATCTTCTAATGGATAGTTTTCTGTCAATCACTGTATTTTGGCCAATTTATTATCGATTTATTTGTATTATCTTTGCTACTTCCGCCGTTATCTGCCAAGTAGCTTTTGGAGAATTCTTATCTCAAATCCATCCTTTATACCATAATACTATATACTGTACGGTGTCTGCTGTTAATCTGTTACTTCCGGTCTAATGTACTTTTGCTAATTTGTTCTTATGCTGCAATCAGTGATTTATCTATTGTTAGGTAACTGTTATTTACGCAGGCGTTTCATTATACATATAGCGATATCTACATACTGTACATATCGCTATATATTATTTGCTAGAATTTTCAACATTATATTATATTTTCACCAATATGTTGAACTCTATTTTGTCATGATTGCATGTATTACTTGTAACATCTTTACGTTTGTCTGCTTATGTATGTAAAGCTAATAGCGTCGCACATTTTTCTGAATACTCTTGTAAAGTCTGTCCATTAACTGGACGTGCAGCGTTGTAAGCTAACAAACAGTGTATTTGCCCAATGAGCGACTGAAGAAAACACCAGGGATATCAATATACATGTAATATAGTCAAAGTATACGTGTAAAGATTTAAATAAATGCCTTATTATACTATACAACATTTACAGAATCAAGTAAATAGACCTTTCTATAATTACAGTTAGACAGCAAATGTACAGTGCCAACTAAAACTCCACTTACAATACAATACAGCAGTTTAATCAAACACTTTAAAGAACCCGTTTACTGTATTTTTACACTAAATAACCTCTACGAAGGTAGCTTAAAGTGACTCATTCAAGCAAACAAATTTTCATTTTCTTGACGCAAACAAATCATTAACATCTGAGAGGTCTAAATGAACCAACTAAAATAATAATAATAATAATAATGTGGATGTTTTATTTTTTTAGCCACCGGGATTTGAAGCCCGAAAATCTCCTATTGGATGAGAAGAACAATATTAGGATAGCGGACTTCGGCATGGCGTCCCTTCAAATGGAAGGAGCCATGCTTGAAACCTCCTGTGGATCTCCCCATTACGCCTGCCCAGAGGTCATAAGGGTTAGTAATTTGTCGTTTATGTTATTTTTGATATTTCTATTTATATATGCTTGAAGTGTTTTCTATTTTTATGTTATTTTTGATATTTCTATTAATATAAGCTTTGAGTGCTTTCTATTTCTATAAGACTGGGGTACCATTACGCTTCGGAAGAATGAATCTAATAACTGGAGATATTGCGTGGCTCTTTTTACCAATGTAAGTTTAACTAAGTGAAACTGGAGAGCTGGAGAACAAAATATTCACGTTATTCTTTGTCGCAGAGTATCGTATTACTAATGCTTTTATATGTTGCTTTTCAGACATCTTGAGACAAAAAGGTTATTAAAATTTAAAATAAAAAGCGTACATCTACGTAGGTAGAAATAGAAATTAATAAATGTAATATTAATGAGCGTAAAAATAAATATAAACTGATTACAAAAACAGAAAAGAGCTTATAATGTATTTTCTTTCCACATTTGAGCATGCTTTTGTGTTGTAACTGAAAGTACGCGCATGACGTGTATTTGGAAGATCTGGAACTCGAAATCCGGCTAAGGCATTGCACATTTTTCATGTTTCTGTATCGATATAAGTTCTACAGGCTGATAAAGAAATATGTCAGAAACAGAAATGAACTGTTTTTGTGTAGCTTGAATACTGGTTCTATTCTTCGTAATTAGCTGATAAGACAAGAAATGATAATATAAATTGCACGCGTAAACTGCAGTAAAATGTGTCACGGTAACCAAATTGTAAGATGACAGTTTCTAAAAATAACCAGTTTTTCTGACTATAAAATTAAATAACGGTCAAAACATCGAACGTAGCTACAATATTTATAGCAGCTACCTCTATAAAAGATCAGAATCGTTTACAGTCAAGGTTGGTTATCACAGAGAGCTTTCACTATACATGGAAACGTGATGTCATTTATGCAGCATTGAATATATTGTAAATGACTATTCTAAAGTGTATGGCAAATTATTATACAAGATAACCAAAAACTTTCTTGCCGTTCGTTATCATCAGACATGCAGCGCATGATACTCAGCTTTAGAAGTCGAAGTAATCTCCATAAACACTCGGCATCCTTTGCAACTTCTGCAGCTGTGCAATACGTTGGCGATAAAACGTGAGGATCCTGCACGCAAAGACATTTATGCTGAGTGTCGCAGACTTGTCTCATTGTCAAAGGATTTCTCACAGAGGTAGATGTCTAAGAGACAAACACAGGTAGCGCTAGTTTCTCTAGGCACTGTATCTCCTAGCCCAAGTGGCTGAATAGTATCTTTGGTCGTCCTTACCACATGTGGACTCTCACTGTCGAGAAGGCTGTAACACAGCCTTGCAATTAACCAAAGCTGGCTCCTTCTGTGGCGACTAGTTCACCAGTCACAGAGCATAATTTTGCGTGGGTCCAGATGTGGTCTTGAGGTGTAAGGCACAGGTTCACGTGGTAACAATCAATATCTGATACGACTGGGAGGGTCATTCTGGACCGAAATTTCGTCATTCGTAAACATTCGACCAAATATGGATATTACGAGGTGCCGAGATAGAAACGATAAACACGCATCACATAACATGAGACTGTAAAATGATTCAGGAAGACAGTTAACAATTGTATTCGATAAAAATTATCTCACTGTTCTAATAAAAATTGAAAATTTGACTTTTGATGGACTTTTGATTTGTTTAGTGCATGAAGCATTTTAATCTGACCCAGAAATGTAGAAAAAAGAATATATATGTAGAAAATTTTGGAAAACGTAAATCTTAGATTTACGTTGTTTTCTATGAAACAAACACCAATCTGAGACTGATTTATGCCTAGTTTTCTACTTCGCTTACGTCTTTGCTATATAATTTTAAAGATCTGTTTAATAAATATATGATAGTTGTTCATGATAATATGCACCTGAAAGCACAATATTATAGTTATCAGTGATATTTGTGTATGATATTTATGTATTACGTATATTTTGGTATTCACGCATATTCTTATGCGTGTTCTTTTAAAGATTTGGTATTGACAGGTGTTCTTAGAGTTATTGGTCACTATCACGAATAGACATTTTAGGAAGATGGTCGTAATAATAGATTTCGTTATGATTTTTTTGAATTTTTTGCAATAGATTACATTTTAATTAAACAAAAAGAAGTATTATTTTAATTAAAGTGAAATGTCAGGTTGGATTTAATTTGTCGAAAAATAGCTTATTTTGCATTTTGTTTTAGGGAGATAAAATTATAATATTTTGACTGTGTAATCTTTGAAATATCATTGATGTTTTAGTAGCATTGCAGTAAATAAATATCTACATTAACTCGGGAGTACGCGCGCTGTATTATGTAACACAAGAACGCGAATGGGGTGTCAACACACCCCAAGTAATTAAATGACGTAAAAATTAAACATATTATTACATTTCAGTAAAATAATGCATTCTATATTAATTGCAACATTTTTTATATAAAGTAGCTTAAAATAATGCCAAAATTAATAACAAATAGATAATTTTTTCAGATGTCTAGGAATCATTCATTTCTATGAGAAATGTTTTTTATTTGTGAATGCAATTATAATCCAAATTATGCAGAATTATGACTTGAACAACGAGTTATATAATTAATATTAAAATCAATTAGGCCCAAAAAGCATTAGATATTTTGCAGTTGAATGAATCATCTATTTCACAGTGCTCTTGATATATGTTGTTTACACTTCACACATATAGTTTTGATTTTCTGTCTTTTTTCCTTGAGTAAATGTAACATTTCCTGTATTATATATTTTTTCTTTTTTTGTGGTTCATGAAATCATTTTCTGTAAGAAATTGGCCAATTTATAACTGGCATATCAATTGTCTGTGGTAAAGTTTCTTCAGATTTGTATAATGGAGCTAGGATGCGCTTTGCTATTTCACTAGAACTGCTGACTTTCTTGTGCGGCCCATCTGGCTGCTGACATGCGTAAATTTCCATGTTGAAAGCATATAAGGTTTTAGAATCAACCTTAGCAAATATCTGTATACCATATTTTGCAGGTTTTGTTAGGTATATACTGCTGAAAGGAGCATCGTTTTCGAAAAGTTTCTAGCTTTCCGTTCAAAGTCACGTATTTCCCTACATGACGTAATTTTTGTCAATTCTTGACAAAATTTTCAAATAAATCTCTTATTGGAGCTAATTTTTATCCTTTCCTATAAAATAGTCAGTTTGATCACAAGGAATGTCTTCTGAAGAGTCGTACTCTTCTTCTGATTCAGTCTCATGATCACTAAATATATCTTCATTATCTGAAGGTTCTAATTCTTCTTCTATAGAATCTTCATTCGACGAAACCCCCTATAATAAATTTTAAAGTCTTTATTTTTTGATCATACGTCAAATGAGGAAAAGACCGAAGAAAGCGACTTGCACACGCCATGGCTCACACTGGAAAATAGTAATACGAAAGCGCGCGTGGAGTGTCAGCACACCCCAAACTATTATTTAAACAACAATAAATGCTCTGAATTTGCCGTTTCCTCTCGAGACATATAGAACATGACCTTGAAGGCAGCTACTGATGGACCTAAGCCTTTCGGTTTATGGGGGGAGATTGCCAGCGAATTTTGTTTAGCATGGGGTGCCGAAACACCCCACGCGCATCTTCCCGGGTTCAGTATTTTCATAAAGTAAGAATTGACTATAATACAAGTGACACAAGTAAAAACGTTATTATTATCGAATACATGATGAACTGTGCATCTAATTAATCCATATACTAGGAATTCTGTTGTATTTTTTGGAACTATATTAAATATTCTCATCTGTAGCTTTTCATGCAACGTGAACGTGGAAGTGGTGCGGGTTTGTCTGAAAAGGCTAGAAAATATTCATTAAAATTTCTTATGGTAACTAAATCATAAAATGACAGCTGCAGTAGTCTTTTCTTTTTTCTACTGTCCCTCATAGGACATTTACAAAATTAACTGCACTTTAATTTGTCAAATACCGTGTGGATTTACGAATTACCTATGAATTTCTAAATAATGTGACTTTCTCATTTAATTGAAGTATTTTCAAGTGTTAGATTTGTAACAATTTATGTTAAACATTAATTAAAAATTATTGGACTTATATATCATCTAATAACATGATCTGATAACACCATCATATAACTTGTAAAGACATTAAGATTATTTGAAAGCAAGAGACTTGAAAAATGAACAAACGCCTTCTTCGAGAATCGAACCCCAACGTTCAGAACACCGCACCACGAAGGATGCTAAGAAGGTGGGAGAAATGCTTTATAAACTGACTGCATACATTTTATAATTTATATTTAAAGAAATGAAAAGCAACAACCATGCCAGCAAGCCTTTCCAGACCTTCTACATGTCTTAATATATCTTTATAAATATTGTTTGAACACATTTAAAAAAACATACTAAAAAGTTATTTCAGAAAAATTAGCATTTCTTATGCATAAAACATCAAGCGATATTGTAGCTACAGAAATATGAAAAATGCCATATCTGTCGAAATATCGTAAGCCGAAGAAATATTTCTACTAAAGTATTTTTTCGTCAAAATGAAAAATAACATATATATTTGTAGTCTTAGCTCACATTCCCGTTTCTTTTTTGGCATGAAGACGTGAGAGAATTTTCTCTTTTGAGGAAATAAAAGAAAGCATTTATAGTAAGGGAATACTGAAGTTCAGTAATGAAAAATCACACCACGAATCTGACACTTTTACTAGAAACATTCCGAATTATCTAGGAAAAGAAAAGGGAAGTAAATGGAATGTTCATATTCATTCTTTTCCCGAAGTTTCGATAGTCCCCCTTTTTTTTAAAAAAAGGGAATTTGCAATAACTTTAATCTCAGACAGGTAACTATTTATCATTCAAAAAACAACAGAAAAATATTGCAGAATGTAGTGTGATCATACTTGAAACAATATTTTATATTATTACCGAGATAAATAAAATGTTCTTACCCAGGAATCTTCAAAAACATAACAAACCTACATCTCTCTTGTGTCAATTTCAAGTTTCATTCTGAATCTATCAATGATTTTTTTTTTACTTTTTAAAATAGCTTAAGTCAAATAATTCATTATAACTGTAGTTCACGTATATTTCCATAAACGTGCATTATAGTACCTTTCATTCCATAGTGTATTTTAAGGGTATATAAAAGTTCATTTAAAATTATGTAGGTGGTTGAATTATTTTCTCTTTCAGGAATATAGCTAGAACAGTATCTCAAGATTCTTTCAGAAAATGTATATCTTGTATGTCTTCCCTGCTTTAGTAATAAATAAATAAATGTAATATAATAGAAGAATTTTTGATGCAAAAAATGCAAGATTATTTAATTTTTTGATTCCATAAAATTATTTTTACCACTACGTAGATCGGCTCTGTCCATTATTACACAGACAGATTATTTGATTTTGATGCTCCACAAAAGTATTTTCTTACTTTTTAATGCAGAGGCTCTTCCAACCATTACGTAAACAGAGAATTCGATTTTTTGATCTCACAAAAAAGGCATTTCCACCATTTTATGGTCCCTAGTCGACGTGGATATGTAGTAGGATTTACGTCGACTATTTACAAAATGTGAGGGCAGAAGATACAATTGCAAACCCTTTGGAGACTATGTGGGACAGCTGCTAATAGTAAACGTCTTATACACTACTAGTACTAAGACGTACTAGCGTAGAAATTATTCTAGTAATGAAACTATTGAATTGTAATGAACGTACTGAATTAATGAAACTACTGAATTTTAGTAATGAAACTACAAGATGTTAAAGAGAGTGTCTAAAATTCAGGGATGGAGGCTTGCAATCAAGCCCTTGCAGCTTGATTGCAGCAGATATCATTGCATGTTCATGTTATGAGGGGAAGTTTCACAGTTTTGCTCCGATTATTTATTCTGCTTCATGCCAACGACGGCTTGTATAAATATCTTGTCTAATCTCTCTTGAATGGCGAGAGAGATGTCGCTTCGGCGATTTTGTTCTTCGCTTGTCGTACGCAGCGGTCTCAGAAGTTAGTAATATTTTCCGTACCCTTTTTTATGTAAGGAAGTTATAAAACGCCTGCAAGTTGACATCGTCTATAAATCTATCCTTCGTGAAGCTGCAGTCTACTACTGGAAGCATTGCCATGAAAGATAAATTTTCTACGAGTCTTGAAAGAAGGAAGGAAGCATGTTTGTGCGCGAATTTTTTAATGTCGAAAAAGGAGGCATGATATTGCCTTTCATTTGACTTTGTGGAGCGATCCAAGAAAAAAAAATAATCTTTGATCATTATACATCCAGGTTAAATTTTCGCTGAAATCCCGTTCGTCAAGAGCCGGAAAGAAAAATACTCGAGGCGATGCATCCAGATATCCATTTGTTTGTGTTACGATTCAGAGTTATGAACTTGCAGGAATTTTTTTATGTGATATGCGATTGGCAGGCGAAACGTTTTTCCCGGTTTTATGATAAGTACTGGTTGTTTCAATCACGATTAGAAAATACAAATTTTTTCACATGTGAAGTCATGAATTTTCTTTGGCACTAAGAAACAGGGTAAATTAATTATTAATAATAAATTAATTAATTACAATTTAATTAGTAATTAAATTGTCCATCTTTATCCTTTGACTATTGCGGGCACAAAACTGGCGCAACGTAACTCAGAAGTAGTTCTAATAATTGATAATTTGCAGCAACCAAGCCTCATTTGGCATTATTACTACACAAGCCAATGATGTTATTGAATGATTATGAATAATATCATAAATAGGCATTAATAGTCAAACAATAAAAGTGTTGTGCCATAGACCACTGGATAAAAAAGGCCTAATGTGCTTCTTTGTTGTTATTTTGTTTAGTGATAACGTTTGATTAACTTTTTCCAGCATAATTATAGAAAAGTAATTCAAATTTACGGGCAACAGCTCCAAAGAACTCGATGAATTAACTTATCTCTCTAAGATATCCCCAATTAGTCATAGTTTGGTATCATTCTAAATTGAACGCGTTCTTATCTTCTCAGAAATATGGATAAAAGTAATATTTTTTTCAGTAATTGGTATACTCAAGCATTTGCTTTTATTTTCTTTTATTCGTTGTTCGCACAAGCGATTTTTGCATTCATGTAATTGAAAATTCCGTGTTGAAATGTATATTTTATTTTAAACATTACATATTTTCCTGTAAAATGACGATAATGACTTTTGCAGGGAGAGAAATACGATGGCCGGAGAGCAGACGTGTGGAGTTGTGGTGTAATTTTGTACGCATTACTTGTGGTAAGGAAGCCTTTAATATCTTTTCTTTTCAAAAATTACTAATTTTTCATAGTGGAACACTGAAGTTGACAGACATTGAGTAATGCAACAACGAGCCTCCTACTTGTTTCTTCCAGGGTGCCTTACCTTTCGACGACGATAACCTCCGTCAGCTGCTAGAGAAGGTGAAACGCGGCGTCTTCCATATCCCCCACTTCGTCCCTCCTGAGTGCCAGGACCTGCTTAGGGCCATGATTCAAGTTTGCCCCAACAAACGCATGGCCGTGAGTACACGCCTTTTTTCGCATTTCAGCTGCCTTTACCTAATGACGGATTTATATTTAAACTATGCCTCATTTTTGTGTTAATGTATATCATTATTTTATGTTTGACATTACTGAATTATCCATTACTTTTCTGTGAATTTATTTCCTTTTAGACTAAGCCCTTATTATAAAAAGTATTTAGACTAAGCCCTTATTATAAAAGTACACCACGAAGGCACGCCTTTCTAGCGTGCCTTCGTGGTGTAGTTCGTCTGCACCGCTGGGCCGGTATTCTAGAGGTCCGTGGTTGTATTCTCGGCGAAGGCGGTTGCTAATTTTTCATCTCTCCGGCGTTTCCAATAAACCTAATGTCTCTACAGTGGCGCCCGAACTAAGAGGGTGTTGGGTGATGATTCTCCTCACCCAGGATTTGGCGAATGAGTCCCCTAAAAACGCTCTTTAACAGGGAGAGTATATAAGGTATTTCTCCCGCCTTCCCAGCGTGCCTTCGTGGTGTAGTGGTTCTGTACGCTGGGCCGGTATTCCAGAAGTCCGCGGTTCGATTCCCGGCGAAGGCTTTGTTAACTTTTCATCTTTCCTGCTTGCAAAAAATCCTAATGTCTCTACAATTACATTCAGATCTTTTCAACGCCAGTCCGAGACAAAGCAATATCAGAAAATTTTTAAGATACTGAATGTATTACTGAATTCGAAACATCGCTTCTAGGATAATTTTATTTGAGGGGTAAAACACTATCTAATCAAAGTAGCATCTACCGAAAGAACAGATTTGCTCTAGTACTCATGGTTTCTCCTGAAGCATCTATCGAATGCCTCTTCTGATATCTGTGATGGATTGGCCGTTACAGTTTTGGAACGGAACTGTCTGAAAACGCTGATCCCGTATAACGAATGTTGATAATGGAAAACTGCGGGTCAGAGAATTAGAAATCTGGCTAATAACGTGGACATAACCTGACAAAGATCTGTTTCTGGTCAAAGAAAATAACTTTCATTGCTTAAGCTCTTTGCTCCAAATGCAGCACCGTGCCGAACGGTTAAAAGAAGAATTTCTTTCGCACCGCTGTTTCTGGATTGTATCGCTTCATATATTTCTTCTACACATAATTCGCTAATACAGTGTAACAACCAAAATCAGTTATTGTTTAATTCACTCACATAACATGTTATTTTCGCCTATATTTTGAACGGGGATGTTTTTTAAAGCATCAGTTTTTTTTATCAGCGTTTCATAACATAAAGCAACTAATATTCATATACTAAAATGCTCATTGCACTGTAGTTATTCGAACAAATGTTTAGCTGGTGAATGGTGAAGGGAGGGTGGGTACATCTGATGTTTAACATTAAGCAAACAGGTGTATGTCCCATGCCCCCTCCAATCCAGAGCAACAGCTCACAGGGACTCTAATGGAGCCGCGCTGGGGGTTTACATATTTTAAACACAAGAACTTGAATAGATACTAGTTTTTATGTTGATAATAGTAGCTTTCGTAGTACAGAGTGGCATCCTTAGCATGCACATGGAATTATAAAGCATAGCATATATGCATCACCATAAACTACACAAAACTTATAATACATACACACAACAAGAATACATACAACAGTACATCCACATAATACAGAACATAAAAATAAATACACAGAAAAAAGAATTAAACAAAAAATAGTGCTTCTTGTTGCTTTGTCATAAGGGCACCGTTATTCTATATTGTACTACCGTTATTTTATGATTTAGAGTTTTTAACAGGTTTGAAAAAATTGTTCATAAGTTCATTAGTTAGTTATGTTCAGCTGATGTAAGCATTGTTACTACGGAGAACGTTCAGTAGGTTTGAAATGATGACTTAGTCAATGTTTCGATTTAGACTGGCTGGCAAATATCATCGTTATTATATTGATACTTCTACAGATGTCAAACGACTTTTATTATAAATTTTTTGTATGCTGTATTGTAGTTGGTTGGTAAGCGTAGATGATTTGAGTACTAATTCTTAGTTGCTGAACCGTAATTTGCTTTCTTTTGTCGATAGCCTTCAGACCGGGGGTCGGCAACCTTATACCTGTTGTGTGCAAAACCAATCTACCAGTATGTTTTAAGATGCCGCACAGTAGGCAATGTTTGAAACAATTCGATTCCCGCGGTGATATATGTACAGTTAGGGAATAGAGGTCAAAAATACAGATTTAGAGTTTTATTATAAATTAATTATACATAATTTAAATATATTTATTAACATGAAAATAAACAACGTAAAACATAATTATTCCTTCAACATAAAATAAAAAATTAAAATTGTACATATAATATGCATTAAATAACTTTTAAACATATTTATTAAAATAAAAAAATAAACGGCATAAAATATAAGTATTCCTTCAATATAGTTAGTCAAAATTAAACTTTTAATGCGAACCTTGTCGCCACACCGCCCTACTTAATATTGCAATATCAAAATTATAATTTGTGCCTTTTAACTTGACACATGATTCTGAATGTTCAGTGATTAAACAACGTCTCTGTGGACTCAAACTAGTTTTCGAATGAGAAAAGATTTGTTCACACAGGTATATAGAACCAAAAGCGGAAAGCAGAAAACATGCAATTTTATTCAAACAATTAAAGCTATCCGGCAATGACATCCAGCAATTTAAAATAGCTGTCGATTTATCATTCGAATTATCTTCCGGAGTTTTTCGTTATTTCGTAAATTTTGCTCTATATAATTTTGAAGATGTTGTTCAGTTTCAAAATTCTCAACTTCCATTAATTCAAAAATTGACAAATTTGATGGATTTGTGAGTGGCTCTATTAAATCTTGTTTGATTATGTAGGAAAATATACATATAAATTTCAAAGTCTCTGCATGTTTTGGCAAATTCCTCCTTAAATACTTCAAGGTAGGTTTGAAGTTCATCTATGTTTATGGTCGATGTATTTGCAAGCCCTATAACATTTGGGAAGTGTTTGTAGGTAGTAGTATTAATGTTATGGGAAAATATGTTTAATTTTGGAGCAAAGTATTTCCAATATTCAAAACGTTCAAGCACTGTCTGGCCGTTTTGTTGCAATCCTTAGTTTAAGTCATTGACATGCTTAGCTATATCAGTCAGAAACATCAATTTGCATAACCATTATCGTTTAATTTGGGAAAATGTTGCTCCTTCTCATTAAGAAAACATTTAATTTTCCTTTTAGTCGTCATTTGATCAAATGTGTAGGTATTATATAGTATTTCTCCCGCCATCTTAGCATTGCTTCAGCACGCTCGACGAGTATTCGAGAGGTCCGTGGTTCGAGTCCTGGCGACGGCACTGCTCTTTTTTCATGTCTCCTTCCGAATACGTAATGTCTCTACAGTGGCACCCGAACTAAAAAAGGTGGTGAATGATGATTCTTCACCACCAGGATTTGGCAATTGGGTCCCCTAATCCCCAGTCGCTCTTCAAAAAAGGGAGTGCAAAATAAAAGGTATTTCTCCCGCCTTCTTAGCATTCTTTCGTGGTGTGTGATCAGCACTGTCGACACGTATTCGAGAGGCCCGTGGTTCGAGTCCCGGCGAGGGTACTGCTCATTTTCCATCTTTCCTGCTTCCGAAATATCCTAATATCTCTACAGTATGAATTGCCACAATAATTAAACAAATAAAATACAAGTTGTTCACAATAAAACTAAGAAAATGTCGTAAAAGTAACCTGTAGTACACGACGTACAGCGAACTAAATTCTATTTTCAATCATACTCGATACTAGTGTATCGGGGCGACGAACAGAAAGAAAGGAAAGAAAATTCGTGATGCGTGAGGGGGGACCGCGCAGAGAGTCGAAATAGGACGATTTATTTTTATCAGATAACTTTGTAAACTGGTGTAGAATGCCACTGAGAATGATACCGATGTGGCTCACGGTACAATTCTCAAACGTGGCTCGCGTGCGCTAAGGTTGCCGGAGCTTAATTCAGACTTTCGATATTCAATTGGCTTTTTCAGATATTTACATATTATTTATTAAGAAAATTTCTTTCTCAAAAACTGCATATATTTCTGGTAGGCATAGCTTTTAGTACAATTTTATGTTTATATATTTGAAAGAAATATGATTATTTGGAGAATCGAAAAATACGGGTATTTGTTTTCACTTATGACAATTTTAGTTTCCATGTTGCGTTATTGCTAAAATATTTCTGCATTAACAACCCCTTCTTAAATATGTTAAATAATTTGCTATCAGGTGATAACTCTATGCAAAATAGGACCATAATCGGCCGAGCGTTAAAGTCGCTAAGTGCTAATACTTTGATCCGGGGCTCGAATCCCGGCGAACGGTCTAGCTGCATGGACGTTTTCATGGTTTTTCCATGTGTAATGTGTATACGAGCTAGCTCCTCTTAGAAAGACCTTCGCGAAGGTATCCCTCCTCTTAGGCAGATAGCCCTCGAGTGCTTTTCCACAATCGGATAAACATCTAGAGCATACATAACATATTTCTGTATGAAAAAATATTTTTGATGCAAAAATGTTTTTCTTCCCGAGTTTTTTTTTATCTTGACCTAAATCAGGCTTTTGTTTTCATTGGTTTTTAATAAAAATTACTTTGGGCTTACCTCTTTGTTCTTACAACTGACATCTGTTAACATTGCTTTGTTTCTGAAAATTTTAAATTTCTGTAATTTTTAATTAAAAATGTTTATTTATCTAAAGTGGAGTTCAAACAGTAGCATAGTTATCTAGGTTTATGCTAAAAATAAAATTTCTTATTGGTCTTTATTAGCATTTTTTATTTTTTTTGATAAGTGGAATCCTTTTTAATGTACACTTTTACCGTGGAACCTCTGGTTTGCTTCAAAAGCATGGTTTTAATGCAATGCTCTTAAATGGATTATTTGAAACAAAAGTGACAATTATTTCAAATAATATTTACTTACTTCAAAAAATAACATCAAAATTAACCCCCAAAAATTTTTAAATAACTCTAAATAACATATTCAAACAGGA